ATATTGGGATGTAACAGACCAATATATCGGGGGCTGTAGCTCCCTACACCAGCCTTTTTTTGCATCCCAATATATTGAGATGATATCGGGGTGAACTAGATACCATGCCCAATATATCTAGATAACCCAATAAAAGTGACACCTATACCTATATATTTCATAGTAGGATTGCCCAATACAACGATAAAATATCTAGATATTTTCATGTAGGATTTTCTGCTTGGGTTATGTCAAACATTTTTTTTTCTTCCTTCTGTGTTTCTTCTTCTTTGCAACGTAACGTGACATTGATTCTTCCGTTCTGCTCGGTGTGTGTGATTATTGTTTTTTTATCTTCTATTATGATGCGCCCTGGTAAAAATGCTTCAGGCTGTTTCAATACTGATTGTCTTCTATTGAACGCGAATAGTTATTATTATGGCTGACGTAGTAGGCGAGAGTAAAATTTCGTGAAAACAAAATATAACTAAATTTAACCTTATTTGTCTTTTAGTAGCTGAGCGAAAACCCGTAGTCGTAATCATCGTTGAAACGTGGTTCAACGAGTCTACCTCGACAGATGATCTTATAAACGCTTTCAAATTACAAAAAATGAGCGTGATTGATTGTCTTTTCAAACAATAGCTAAGGACTTCGAAGTTGAATGTATGAATGCAAAAAGTTCATTCTACGAATTGTCGACAGACCTGAATACAAAATCAAAACGGTGGTTGTCAATAGTTAAACACACCTTAGGTGCCAATGCCATAGCTTCTGTCCCACCGATAAGAGCTAGTAATGGTGCACTTATGACGAATTCTAAACATAAGACTAACATTCTTAATGATTATTTTGCATGTATATGTACGATGTCGTCTCAAGAAGATAATGAAACACGTAAGCAAATTAAGCAAAGTAGAATGAAAATGTCAGTTTTTCTGCATAACAACTAGGTCACTGGTCATCGAAAGCTTTCACTCGGGAAATTACCCATTCATTTTATAGTCGCCGCTTTTCTACTGCGCTCTTCTATTTTCTATCGCGACTGAAAACAGAACATTGCGGATATATACGTGAATCTAGATTGAACTTTATTTAGAAAATTTTTTGAATAATTTCTTATCTTAATTTTCGTCTTGAACCATATTATGTTTGCTGTAAATATAAATTAAATCCCAAAATTCAACTTGGGATGATGCAAAGAGAAAACCACACATAGGAGTTAGTTGAAAGAAGCAGAAAAAAACGAAACGGAAATAAACAAAAGCATTCTGCTCCTTGGCCTACTGATTCAGAAAGAAAGAAAACAGTAGATCCTGTCCTGTTTTCTAAACCAAGAAGTCTAAATCAAAAGTTCATTTTTGTTCCCCAGAGAGACTTGATGGAGGTAGTATAAGGCCCGTTTGCGAACATAGCAGAATGTTTTTGAATAGAAGGAGGGGAAAAAATTTACTTATGATAAAAAACTGTCTTGAAGAAATGCAACTCGAGTTTGTTCTTTTGCTCCCTTTCTAGATCCAAGACGATCTTCAGATGTACGTCGCCATCCTCCCTGTGTTTTATATTTCTTTCTCTTTTATTGTTGAGAATATGTACTTTCTTTGTTTTAAAAACAAGAATTGATCATTGATCACGAGGCTACCTAGTCAGTTATAGTCATTTCTGAAAAGCGCAGGGAACTCTGTTTACCGAAAATTTTCTGCGTTAGCGAGTTTCGAATACTAACGCAGAAGAAGGCGCGAGATGTTTCAAGTTATTTTAGCGAGTCCTTCATATTTCTGAAATAATGCTTTTCAGATCAAGAAATCAGCCGTACAGTTACATTTTATTCTTAATGCTGACTCTCCATAAATACATGAACACATGAACACATGAATCATAGAAATTTCTGTGAAACTTTTTATGAAGAATTTCTCTCTAAATTTTGAAAATTTCAATGCATAGTTTCGAAAAGGTTGATTTTTGAAGAAAACGTTTTCATGTGTAGCTAAAAGGTAGCGCTTTTGTATGTCTCAGAAGTAAAATATCCATTTATTTACCGAGAGCTATTAAAACAAAAATGCGGCTGTACGGCTAATTTCTTGATCTGAAAAGACTTATTTTAGAAATATGAAGGCCTCTCTAAACAAATTTGAAACATCTCGCAAAAAAAGAAACAATTTTCAAATTTCTAGTCACGATCTCACATAGAAAATGTAAAAACACGCTATTTTATCAGGCGAAATACAGGATATTTTTCACACGAATTCTTTAAAAGGAAATGGCTTATCGGATAAAACTTGACAGAGACTTAGTCCAAATATGAAGTAATCGATTTATTCTGAAACATGCTTTACACTGTAAAGTCGTGAATTATTTATAGAAAATCCATGTCGATTTTCTACATTGTTGGGAATTATTTATAGAAAATCCTCAGGAATATGGACTTTTCCAAAATCAAAAAGTTATCGGATTATTTTCTGCTTTCTAGAAAATCGTTGCGCATTTTCTAGATGACGAGGAACAATAATTTGAGTGAGAATGCGATAACCCTCCATATTTTTCGTTTCGCTGCGAAGCGATTGTATAGATCTCTTCTAACTCCGACGCGAACTTCGAAAAGTGATTTTCGAAAAGTCCATATTCCTGCGGATTTTCTAAAAATAATTCCCAACAATGTAGAAAATCGACATGGATTTTCTACATTATTGGAAGTTCGATTTTCTAGACATTCGCCAGTAACCCTACGACATTTGCCATAATTATACGTACGGCATTCGCCAATTATGGCGAATCCACACCATCGTCTACACCGTCATTCAACGGATCTAGTATTGATATTGGAGCTACGCAAGAAAATTCTACACCTCTCAGTATTTCAGCTGGATCTGTAGCAGCAAATATTGAAGCCAGTTCTTTGTCATCAAAACCAAAAAACAATTGTAACACTAGTCCAAACAATTTATCATGTCTAACAAGAGGACCCGGCTCAAATGGGAGTATTCATGATAACGAAAGTCCAGAAGAATGTGGAAGACGAGAAAAAGATCGACGCGCAGTCAATAATGCGAGAGAAAGACTTCGTGTACGAGATATCAACGACGCTTTTAAAGAACTTGGTAGAATGTGCTCAATCCATATGATAAATGATAAACCCATTACGAAACTTGGAATTTTACAACAGGCTGGTAATCTCATTACGTCTCTTGAACAACAAGTCCGAGAACGTAATTTGAATCTCAAAGCAGCTTGTTTAAGACGACGTGAAGAAGAAAAAGAAGTTTTAAATGGAAGTAATGGTGTTGGTGTTGGTAGTGGTGGTATAAATGTTAGTGCACAATCACTTGCTTCATCATCACCATCTTTGGATGGCAGTACAAACTTTATTGATTCCATGCATCGTTCTGTACTTCGAAATAATTGGCAAGGCGTATGAAAATGAATACCAATTGGGTGCATATGGACAACCATTGTATTTGGCCCTAATACTCGTAATTTTTAAAACAGCTGACCATTTTATCTTGTATATGTATATGTTATGTGTGAATGATGAAGCACAATGTCCATTTCCAGCATATTCGGTGCCTTTAATATTTTGTTTGTTTGCTTGTTGTATTTCTTAATAATTTTAAAAGTGTCGGGAGTGGGGATTTCAGAAAGCCAAGGTTTTTCACGCATCCATTAACAAAACATCATTTTTTTTGATTTTTTCTTGAACCGGACTACTTTTTATATAGAACGATAGAGAATTATCCGCGCTACAAAAGGAAACGTCGCCGAGCTCTGAGCGACATTTTTTCACGAAACAGCATTCAGTTTATAAAAAGGCTTGAGGGAATGTCTTTCTTGTTCTGCCGTTAATTTTGCTGGTATGCAACCTTTTGTAAGTTGAGTGCTGTTTCATGAAAAAGTATCGCGCGGTGTGTGACGACGTCTCATTTTGTTCCGAAATGTGTGCTCTACACGACTGGATTATTTACAAAGAATTTCTTGACCGCATTCCGGGACTTAGTTTTCTGACACATTGATTTTCAAGAGATCCTGGCTTTCGCAATTTCGATACAAGTTTCATATACACCACATCAGATTAGAAACGTTTTTGGCTATTCAAAGCTTTTTTCAGATTTTTTCTTCCTTTCATGATTGAGGAGAAATACCTAAAACAAATCGTTTCTATAATTTTGTCCAGTAATGCAGGTGGAAATGATGATGTTTCTCTAGTATTTTGACAACTGTCCTATATGAACATAGTTTCAGAAAGCTTAAACATAGCTCATTTTGTAGCGCAGAGAATTCTCCATCTGTTTGTGTATGAGTTCTTGTCAAATGATTCTGAAATTGTATGGAAACTTTGAGGAACAAAGTGAGTGACCATTGTTCAAATAGTGACGAAAAATGAAAAGAAAGTTTATTTTCAAGGAAACAAGGAGCACTTTTTGAACGCAGGCAGTGTTAGGAAGTGAAAACGTATTTCCTATCATTTTCGCTCCAAATCATATTGGGCCATTTTCTTACAGAAACCGTTTCCAGTCCTTTCTTCGTATAGATAGTCCCCTCGAGAACACCGAGCGGATGGAGGTGTGAGTGTTGTCTGGCATTCAAAGTCATAGAAGGTCGTTCGCAGATATAAATTCCTAAAGTCAAGGGTACAGATTTTCAAATAGAACTGTTCCAGTGTTTTCATGGTCCACATCATTTAAGTGCAAAAATTTTAATTTTCCCATGGGTACCCATGATATTGAACATTCAAACCCAACCCAGCCCAGCTCGAATATCGCACTTCTTACATAGGACTTTTAGCATTTTTTGAAGGAAAGGATATTTTTTGAAAAAAAAATTGCAACATACGATGGGCGCTGCGTTATCAAAGTGTTGAAAAGGAAAATATTCATTTTATGTTTTTTCCAGCAGAACATAAAAGACAATATTTACGTGTCTCGTTTGTGATTCTAAAGCCTTTTATCGAAAATTATAGAAAACGCCTTCAACATCAGTTTTCTTTCACAAACAGTAGAATAACAGAACGACAATTTTAAATTTATTACTTGCACTCATACTATTGTACGCACTTGTAAAATCACAGTTGCCTTAGTGAGATCTTCTCGACGTAAAACATAATCGACTATTCCTAATATCTAGGACTCCCAAACCACTTTTCTTTAGAAAACAATGGTCAAACTTTCATGTTCTTTTTGTTTCCCTTTTTGTTCCACAGTACAGTTCCGCAACAGCATGAGTCTGTTCTATCATAGTCTATCGAACACCTGAAGAAATTCACTATGATCACGCTGGCGAAAGATCATTCCTACTATTTGTTTAAAACCATATCAGCAAGTGATAAGATCAAAGAGAACATATAAATTACCTATAATTACTTAGGACAGTTAATGTGCTCTTTGATATGTTATCTAAGAACTAATAAAAGGTAATCCATAGGAAAAAATGAATAAAATGGAGAAGAAACGATAGATTTTATATATTTTCTCTCTTATACAAACATCAGAGAGGAGCGTTTTACATTATTCTACGACTGACCCGATCAATTCGTTTCGCTCAATCACCATTCGGCTTGCGGGGCTTGGTGTATTATCATCGGAAATACACCAGAATACACCAGATAAACGCAAATATATACATATCTTTAAAATGTGATAGGCTTGCTGGGCTTGGTGTGTTCTCGCTGACAATACACGAGAATAAGCAAATATAAATATCTGTAAACTGTGCTGGGCTTGTGGGGCTTCGTGTATTCTCATGAGAAATACACGAGCATACACCAGAAAACGCAAATATATATTTGTGTATTTGATAACCTTTAGATTGATGGTAACTTATCCTAATCATCAGTTAAGTGTTCACTGGTTGCTGCTGCAGCGACGACGGCGGATTCTGTTTCAAACTTTCGTTGAACGGTAGCTTCGACGTTTCTTCGAACAACATTTGCTATTGTTTGTTGATGTTCAAGTTGTTGTTTATTCTCAGTGAGAATACACGAAGCCCAGCAAGCCCAGCGCGTCTTTAGCTCATTTCTGCGAGAAGTTATTAGAAAAATATCCGAGACCCATTGTATTTTGAAACGCATATAACTTTGAACCTTCTTGTTTGGTTGCTTCGGATATACGACACTTCAAACTATCTATATATGTGCAAATCAGAGGGCGGCAATGAAATTTGCGATAGAAGAACTATACGCCACATCATCTGCAACGGACAGCATAAACACGATGAAATTCCACAATGATAACGTTGTCCCTATTTCCTCAGCCAAGGAACTAGCTGAAGAAATGAGAATACACGAGAATAAGCAAATATAAATATCTGTAAACTGTGCAGGGCTTGGTGGGGTTGCTCTATTCCCTCTCCACACCCGAAGCCCTGCGGTTCTTATGAGCCCAGCAAGACCAGCACATTTTAAAGATATTTACATGTGTGGTGTTCTAGTGTATCCTCAGTGAGAATACAGCAAGCTCAGCGGATAGTCTCTTTTCCAGAATAGACTGCGTGAACGAAAACGAGTGGAAACATGCAAAACGGCCGTCAATATAAGAACCGCAGCGCTCCGGTGTGGGGGAGGGAGGGGTTGGTGCAGCATGAGTGTGTGCCACGATGCAACAAACTCTGCACGTTATTTGCTGTCGTATTCGCATATATTGTCAGTGAGAATACACCAAGCCCACGAATATATCTCTGACTCGATTCCTATATCCTTGATAGCAGTTATAGGGTACCATGATGGATGCATATATTTCTATCTAGTCAAAAGAGTAAACTTTATTGAATCATCATTATCTTATTGTCTATAGTAAACTTTATTTTTATTTCAGGTCAACAAAAGATATTCTTGTTTTTTTACTAAAGGCATCTGTAAAATAAAGGTAGACCGGTACACCTAGATATGACGCAGTCAAGGAAGAGAAAGATGTAAATGTGCTTAAAGCAAGAACATGTATATCATGTCTTTGATCTGTAAAAGTCAAACGGCAACCATCTCTATCCTGAAAGTGTACCCAAGCAGACCTGAAAACAGAAGATTTCCAAAAACTCTCTGTATATGTATTATTCTCCCTGTAGTGTCCATAATTAGCAAATAAAATAGAAAGTTAGTCCTCCTTTTTTCTTCTTCATCCTTAAGAGATCCGGTAAGAGATGAAACACATAATGCACTTCAAAGAAGCTACTGTGTCACCTTACATTGTTTTCAGTAACTTTGACTCTTTGAGTGTATAAGTGCGATTTGTCAAAGCTGAACTATCGCGTAATTTTGATTTATCTAGCATAGCACTTGTTGTGTATTGTTGAAATCATTCTTTTCTATATTCTGAATGTTCATTACTACGATTGAAACGCCTAAACGATAATAAAAGCGTGGGGAAACATTACTATGTATGTGACTAGCAAGATAATGTTTTCTAATATTCGTAAAACTAAAATGAAAGAAGAATTTCGATTAAACTAAAAGTATGTACTAGCAGTTGTCTCTGTTGTATGTGAATGGAATCTTCTCATGGTAAGTAAGCTCCGTAAATCTGTCCAAAATCCTTTAACAGTAACAGATAAAAAAAGATAATTTAATGAACTTGCTAAATACGTTAGAGAATCTGTTAATGAGAATATTACATTGGCTGCTATTGAGCTTTCCACAAGTGGAGTTAATACGCTAAAACAGAGACGGTTTGGTAACGTTAATAAAATGTAGGTAATACACATGCACGCTAACATGATTGAGATTCGTCTGTTACGCAAATATGATGCTTCATTTACTCGTGGTAAGCGAACTAATTTAATGATTGTTAGCAATGTGCACAGTAGCATGACAGCAAATGGTACCATAGTCATCAATACTAGATGAAACCATGTTAGATATAAAAGAAAGGCCTTGTATAATGCGGCATTTGTTGAGTGAAAACATTGAATAGTACCATCAGCGTCTACGTAGCCCAAAGCAAGTAAGAAACAGTCCGTTAGCAGCAATGTACCAGCTATTGAGATACATATTCTCCATGCTTGTTTCGGGTGTGCTATTTTTCGTTTGTATGCAGGTGACCATAACATGAATGTACGATCAATAGTTGCCATTGTTAAATAAGCAACTGGTAAATGTAGAGTATAATAACCAAAAAACTCGAGTAATTTACATGTAATCAACGAACGACTCATTATACTTTTACCAGTTAAATTTGCGACCGAATTATCTAGATTGAATTGATACAGTGCTATGGTGTCAGCGAAACATAAGCAAATTAAATAAACATTAGTTGATACCCGGTGACTATTACGTGAAGCCTCCCGTCGCAGTTTAGACAGCAGTACAATAATGCATAACAGGTTACAAATTGTGCCACAGAGAGTGAGAACAAGTGGCATAATACCAACAAGGATCAATTCAAGAGTTGGTAACCGAGGTATTTCAGGTGCAAAGTTCTGCCAGACCATTCTTACCTATATAAACAATAAATTCACATGTTCAGCAGTAAAACAATAACTGGAGTAGATTAACCGGCAGAAAAAATGTGATTAGTTACTCTTTTTCTCAAAATATAATGGGTTACTGACGCTCCGGCATATGGTGGTGGTCAAAAGGCAATAAACTTGAAGCAATAAACCAACTTTTACGTTCGGTTAGACTGATTTTAAAGCTGGGATGATACAAGATGAAAAGAATAACGCACTTCAAAGACACTGCTGTATCACTTTACATTGTTTTTGGAAAGTTTGCTTATTGAGTGTATAAGTGTGATTGTCAAAGGTTATCGGATATGTATCTTATTACTACACTCAAGTGAGCAGGCGTGAAAAGAAATATTTCAGGAAATACTGTTAAAGCATAACGTACTTCAAAAAGGTTGCTGCATCACCTTACTTTGTTTCTAGATAGTTTAAGTCCGCCTTAATCTCAATAATATTTTGAATGACAAAGTTCCAAGAAATAATCAAAGTTGACGGAATATTTTTTGTCAGATATATTACAGAAGTTGTTTGAAACGAGAATATATAAGAGTCAGCACTTTCATATTAAAAGAGATGTGTTTTACAAAGAGCTCCCACATTTCCATCGTGAAAAACACGTTCATTCATCCGCTGTCATCCATTTCCTTTTAGTTTAATCAAAATTCTTCTTTCATTTTAGTTTTACGAATATTAGAAAACATTATCTTGCTAGTCACATACATAGTAATGTTTCCCCACGCTTTTATTATCGTTTAGGCGTTTCTGTTGTTGAAATCATTCTTTTCTATATTCTGAATGTTCATTACTACGATTGAAACGCCTAAACGATAATAAAAGCGTGGGGAAACATTACTATGTATGTGACTAGCAAGATAATGTTTTCTAATATTCGTAAAACTAAAATGAAAGAAGAATTTCGATTAAACTAANAATAAAAGCGTGGGGAAACATTACTATGTATGTGACTAGCAAGATAATGTTTTCTAATATTCGTAAAACTAAAATGAAAGAAGAATTTCGATTAAACTAAAAGTATGAACAGGTTGATAATATAGATACTATTAACCGAAGTTTCGGGGTTATGCGTGGAAAATCAAGCACTCTACACGCAGAACTGTTATAGTGATCATAGTGCTCGACTATTCTTCGATCAGGCTTCATATTTTATTTTTTCTTTAATTTTTTCTTAGACTATATCGGATTTCCATTTCAAAGCAAGGTGTCCTGAAATATCAGGTGAAAATAACTTTTCAAATTTGAGCATTCAAATGTGTGATCCGAGCTATGGTCTGACGTTTAAGTACATCTGCTATAGTGACACTAGTGCATTTCAAGATTCGAAGCTGCACCAAATTCATGGGATGAAATTATCAAATTCAAGGAGAAAACCTGAAAGTTCTTATATTTTTACAACCGTATAATCTCCTAACACCCAGCATTCTCCTTAAAAAAACAAGCATGCTTTCTGAAAACAGAACATACGTCGGACAACATTGTTTTCTTCTTTTAACCATATCACCTTCGATAGAAACTTGAGATAACTTACACTCCTCGCCAACGGGAACTCTGATAGCTCAGAAAATGAAAGAAATTTAAAACAAGAACATTTAATTTGAAATGTTCGGCTTCGAAGAATAA